GGGCACGGCGGGCCGCGAAGTTTGGGGGTTCGGTCGGGGGCGGGGAGCCCGCGCCCGAGTCCACGGACTGGGGTCCTGGTTTTGAGGGACTGGGGGACTGAAAGGAACAAGGTTCCCTGTCCCATACGGCGGAGGCCTGCACAGGTAGGGGTGCTGGTCTGCGAGGGGAGCCCCCAGCACCAAGGCAGGGGCTTCCTGGACCAGAGCTCCCAGATTGGAGACCCCCATCCCACCCGCAGTTTCCATGCTTTGGGCCTGCTCTCCTGTCGACCTCCTGCTCTGGGTTCTGGTTCTGCTCCATCTCTGCGCCCATCGGCCATTCTGCTGCAGCTCCTGGCTGGGCACACACCCCTTCCCATTCTCTGCAGTCCCTGGGGGAGCCAGACACAGACCTTGGTCCAGGGGTGTATGGAGAAGGCAGCTGGGGGCTCAGAGTGGTCCCTCCTGTTCTGTGGCTCTTCACCCCGTGCCTCTGACCTAGCTTTTGGCTCAGGACCTGGAGGATGGGGGTGGGGGGCTCCACTACTAACTTCAGCCTGGCTAGGAGAGGGAGGTGCCCGCCTCCTCACTATCGTGTCCCGGCCCGCCATCTTGAGACCTGTGGCACCCAGCGCCCCACCCGGCCCCAGCACCCAAGGGAGTGGTCTTTAAAGGGATGCTCCCAGGGCCAGCTGCAGTTCCTCCTCTCAGAAGGTGGGCTCTGGGTCTTCCCCAAGCCCAAGATGACCATCTTCATGCTGGACCAGCGGAGCATGGGGACCAGGAGCCCTCCTTCCCCCACAAAGAGCTCTTAGACCCGGGACCTCCCCAGGAGTTGAGCTCTGGCCCTCTGAGGTCACCCTCATTGCCTTAGGGCCAGACCCAGGACTCTTCTTCCCCATGTGAAGATCCCTTAAGCCTCCAGATCCTGGAACCCCCTCAACTTCCAAGGCACCCCCATCCCAGCCCCCACCCCAGCCTTCATCAGCATGCAAGCTCAGGCTGCCCAAACACAAGGGGATTGTTCTCCTTGCATGCTCAGGGTGGGGGGCTGGGAGCAGGCAGCCCACACACCCTGGCAGGCCCAGGCCATGGGGAGGCTGGCCTGCCCCACCCTGTGTCCCCAGGCAGGCTCTGTCCACCCTCCCTGCTCTCACCATGCTCCCCCCACTCCGCCCTAGCCTCCATCACCATAGCCCAGCAGTGCCGGCCTCAGGGAAGGGCTCCGGGCTGTACAGGTGGGCCCCCGCTGTCTCCCTCCTAAGCTGCCCCGCCAGAGCTCCCCCTCCTATGTAGGCTCAGGTTCCTCACTTGACTAGCGAGGCCCTTCCATCTGTGACCAGCTGAGCCTTGCTGGGCTCTGTGGAACCTACCCATACCCCCACTGTCTTTCCAGGTCTCCTTCTCAATAGGGAGGCCCACTCTGGTCTCCCAGATAGCAGCCAAATCTCCCACCCGTAGACATGCCTGGGGAGCCTCAAGACCTAGGGAAACAGCAGGAGCTGGGGCTGGGGGGCTCCTGTCCAGGCAGGTCCTGGCTGTGCCTGTGTGGCCAGCCCCTCACACACTGGTCCTCTCTCCTGCCCTCATTGTTTCTCTGGGCCACTCAGCCCCATCCGTGGTCCCTGATGACACCCTAGGCCCTGTGAGCTCTGATTCTTCTCCGTGCACATCAAGGGTCTCCCGTCCTCCTGGGGCTCTCTGTGCAGTGGGGTGACAGGCTCAGAAATGCCCAGTTCAGACTCCTTTGAGTTGCAGTCATATCTTTGGGGGGTACAGAGGCCTACGTGATTACGCCTGATTTGGAAGACTGAGAAGGGCTCCACAGAGGAGGTGGCATTTGAAAAGAATTTTAACACAGAGCAGAAGGGTGGGCATTTTGAGCTGGGATCAGTCCGAGCAGAGGCCCAGGGGCCTGGAGATGCTAGATGTGTTTCGCAGCCTGGTGTGTGGAGGGGGCGGGGGATGGAATGGGGATAAGATGAGAAGCTGGCAGGGCGCAGGTCAGGAAGGGCCTGGATCGCTTGTCCATGGAGATGATGCTTTATTCCTCGGGCACTGGGGAGCCATGGATGGCTGTGGAGCAGCAGAGGGAGCATGGAGAGTCTTCAGCTTGGAGAATGAAAGCTAAAGACCTTTTTCCATTTGAATGAGACGGTAGAAGAAGTACCAGAGAGCTGGACTGCACCTTGAGGCTGCAGCCTTCCTCCTGGAGCCTAGTCTGCCTGGACCCTGCCTCGGTTTCCCTAGGCTCTGAAGACTCTTGTGGGGGGTGGGGGTGCTGCCTGATAATGCTCTGAGGAGGCTGTGGTACTTCTGGCATCTACCGCTCAGAGCTCTCCTCCCCTGCCTGACACTTGGCCTGTAAGATAGGCCTGAATCAGGAAACCAGAGGCTGGAGCTTGCGGACCTCAGGCCGCTGCCCTGCGGGCCCCTCTTTCCCCTCCTGGTATGATTGGCCATCCTGGGAGGCTGGGAGGCTCAGAGGCTGGACACATGGGTCTGAGGAGGTGGGGGCAGTTCTTAGGGAGCCTGGCTAATCAGGAAGCACGAGCATCCCCAGAGAAAGAGATGGATGGGCAAGGAAGTTGGAGCTTCAGCGCTGACCTCCCTCTAGCCTGGTGTCCACCTCCGCGCCACGCCCGGCCTCGCCTGATCCCGGAGCCATTCCCCAGCATCATGGGTGTGGCTAGCACGGCTCCTTTTGGAGTAGGAATGGGAGGAGGCTGCTAGGTTGGAAGCTAGGGGTGCTGAGAGGGATGTTGGGGTATGCAAAATGGGCTAAAACTGGACCCCAGCCCCAGCCCAGGTGGGTCCACAGGCCCTGGCTGGTCCAGACATTAGCCATCAGAGCCTAGGGAATCCCCCAGGGGGCGGGCCAGTCTACTTGAGTCGCCTGGCCCCAAGAGCCCTCCCCTCCCCCGATTGTTCCTGTTACAGAACAAAGCCAGGGTGGACACTTGATCCCTGTGTGTGGGGGGAGCTGGCTAAGCCCCTGGCCCTTTGATTGGGCAGCTGTCATGGGAGAGAGACAGCTGGGGGGGAGGGGCAGGAAGGGGCAG